AGCACCTGCAGGCTCTGGACAAGGACCAGGCCGCCTACCTGAGATACTTCCGCTGGCGGGAGACACTGCGGCCCTGCTCCAGAAGTTGGGCCCAGCACTACTGCGAGGCCTGCTGGCGGCTGCAGCAGGAGCCCAGGTACCAGGCGGTGCCCAGCATAGCCTCCTGGTTCACATGAGCCAGCGGCCTGGGGCCTGGGCTGCTGGGAGCCTCACCTGCCCAGACCGCACAGTCGGGAGCTCACCTGCTGGGACCTCACCTGCAGGAGTTCACCTGCTGAGATCTCACCTACAGGCCTTCACATGCTGGGGACCTCAGCTGTCGGGCGTCACCTGCTGGGGACCGCCCCACCCAGGCACTTGCCCCCCAGGGAACCAGCTCCCCGGGAGGGGGGAGTGGTGCTCCCAGCAGCGACGGTTCTGGTTGGTCTTCCCGTGATTGTCACTGCTGTGCTCACTGCCTGCGTGGTCTGGGGTCCCAACATCGTCACCCGTCTCCAGCTGGGGATGCTGTAACAGTGCTGTGCCCCCTTTTTCTAGAGCGTGCTCCTCACCCAGGGCCAGTCTGCCCCCAGGGGACGTGGGTCATGTCTGTATTTTGGTTGTCACAGCTGGAGGCAGGGTGTTACAGGCACCTGGTGGATGGGGGCCAGGGATGCTGCTCAACACCCTGCAGCGCCCAGGACGGCCCCACCCCAGAGGAGGATCCGGCCCCAAAGGCTCGGAGGTGGAAGAACCTGCCTGAGACCGTCTACAGCCCTCGGGGTCCGGGGCTGGCAGGTGTTCAAAGCCCCAGGGGGGCCTCTCCTCCGGCTGGCACCTGGGGGTGGTCTGGCAGTTTAGGGAGACCATGGTGGATGTGGGACCAGGGTGTCTGGGGGTCTCTGGTGGGGGCAGTGCTTCAGCAAGGGGACCGGCCATGTCCAGAGCCTGGGGCACAGGTGCCTGCGCGTGGCTGCCTGAGGGATGGGGGCAGGACAGAAAAGGATGGGGATCCCCCTGCGAGGGGGGTTTGGTGCTGTGTGTGCAGCTGTGAGAGTGAGTGGAGGGCGACGCGGGGCTGGAGTGTGGGTGCCATCAGGTGTGACTGTGACCGTATTAGCGTGAGGGCGTGCCAGCCCGAGGAGGCTGTGGCCCTGAGTGTGTGATGGGGGGTGTGTGAGTGAGCACATGCATGGCTGTGTGGGGCTGCTGTGACTGTGTGTGCGTGTATGCGAGAGTGCAGGGTTGCGTGGGGGGCTCTGCAACCTGAAGTGTGCGATGGTGTATGTTTGTGGGTGTGAGTCAGCAAGTGTGTATGGCTACATGGAGCCTTGTGACTGCGTGTGTGCTTGTGTGTATGCTTAAGTGTGAGAGAGAGTCTGCGTGAGGATGTGTGGGTCTGTGGGAGGCTGCTATGATACTAAGTTGTAGATGTGTGTGCACACTTCTGTGAGCAGGTGTGTAGAGTTCTGTATAGGGCCTCTGTGACTAAATGTGTGATGGTGTCTGTGTGTGCGTGTGTCAGTGAGAGAGCGAGGAGGGCGGTGGAGACCAGGGTATGACATTAAGTGTGTGACTGACACTGTTGCTGTGAATGTGTAACTGTGTGACCGTGTGATTGTGTGTACGTGTGTTGTGACTACACGCGGCTCCCAATGTGTCTCCATGTACGTGTGTGTGTGGTTGCCCCGTCCAGTGTGAGGTCCAGCAGTGTCTCTGCCTGAGTGTGCAGCAGTGAGGCTGCCCCGCTCCGTGTGTGAG